ATATTATGGTATATTTAGTGTTACAAAGAAGAACAGTGTTGAATATATTTTCTTATTTGAAACTAAATGAGATTGAGGATGATGATGCTGTGGAATATGAGATGAGCAAATATAAATCTTTAGACATCATAAGTGGTAATATGGTCATATCATAAAGAAATAGAATGTGAATTGATTTAAATAAGGTATATATTATTTTAAATCATAATGTAGTTTATTTAGTTTCATTAATAGATTTCATTTACAGATGATAAGTTTCTTGTTTTTTTATTTGTGAGATGATAACAATATTTACAATTCTTTCATTCATTATTTGTTTATACCAGATCTTATTTCAGGTAGCCAGGTTTGTTACTGACATTCAACAATCAGAATTGACTTGGTTGCAACGTGCTATGGTAAAACATAGCTCATTTACTATTTGACTTAAGTCAATTACCTAGCTCCTGACATACTGCTTCTACTCAGAATAGACCTTTGCCTGAATAGATGCTGAGGTGTTTACTTTAACAAGTAAACATTAAAGCAGTAAGATTATACTTATAAATTAGATTTTGCAGTAATAACAGTTACATATTTATTTTACAGGACTAGCTTCCCTATTTAAAATGATTGTGCTATGGTAACATGTATTTATTCAAAATACATGTTACCATATAACATTATTATTCAAAGATCCATTTTTTTTAGATGTTAATGTACTGTGTTAACTCTGTTGCGGAAGAATCGATTTTTTCTAACTTTGGATGTGCTTCAAAACTAGGTTATTTTCATAGCCACTAATATGTTAAAATCATTACTAAGCAAACGGGAGTACAATTAATTTAGGTTTAATTTTTTATTTACGAAGTATCTTTTAAAAGAAGTAACCTTATCTTTTTTGACAAGGTGCGAGTCTTAACTTTTAAATTAAGGCAGTATACAAAGGATACATTAAAATGCTTTTTCTAATACATGTCTATATATCTTTCAAATGTAAAAATTGTGTAGCCTAATAATAATAATAATAGCACATTGATTGAAAACAAACCTTGTTTTCCACAAAAACTGTTGCTATTACTCAAGTTATGTGGTTTTCCAACTTGATCCTTAAGTCATTGCGAAGTGTAAATATTGAGACTATTAAATTTTTTAATATTTAAGGTCACTTTTTAGTTTATCAAAAGCTATATACTTATATAATAAGTAAATAGCTTTTGATAAACTAAAAAGTGAGCTTAAATATTAATTTTTTTTTTTTAATTTAAAATTTTTAAAATTTAAAATTTCTCATGTTGGTTGCAGGTTTTTTAAGCAATCTTATAATGAAATTTTGTTACTTAAATGGGCAATAAACTTTTTGTAGAATTTTTCATGAAATTTTCACCATTGTGTAATACCTATTTAAAGCTCTCTCTAAATAATAATATTTATGTATGAAAATAATTTGAAATTTTTACACATGTACCTACAAGCAGTTTTAACTTACCTTACACAAATTTAAAACAACAAGTAAAATTAAAAACAAGTTTTTAAAACCCAATGCTTTTATATGTAATTAAAACACAAGTTTCGCAATCAACTTTTTCAGATATTACTTTTTTATTTTATTAACATACGGCTGTATATTTGTGTAAAAAACAAAAAAGTTCAGGAAGATGCGGGTCTCAAACCACAGACATTCCATTTACGAAGTCAACGCCTTATCCAAATATGCTAAACGTGTGTATAAGTATGAAAATAATCAATATACTTATTATAATATACAATATTCAATAATTAGTTTTGTAGTAAGTCAAATAATTTAGTTAATTTTAATTAAGTTTATATTTTATATTGAATATTGTATTGTCATCAAGCAAGAGTATGTATGCAAAATTTAAAGAAAATCTATCATCAGGAAGTGACTAAAAAATTGATTGCAAGATTTGATGCTCAAAGACAAACAAACAAACAAACAGAGAGGACGAGTTAATAAAAGCAATGGAAAAATGCGCTTTAACTAAGCATTGTTATTCAAAGCTTTAAATGTAAAAACATAACATTTAATATTCTTTTGCACATATTATTAAAAAACTTTTCAAAAAAATAAAACTTTATCATGTTTTTGTTAACTTACGTTACATAAAAACTGCAATAGTTCTTTCATATTTTCTTAAAAAATATATATATTTTATAAAGTATTAAATTTGACCAACAACAATTTGAACATGTTAGGTCCATTTTAACGCTAAATTCCGATTACACAAATAAATTCATGGTTAAATAACATTTTACAATGATACCTTTTTTAACATATGACAATGAGAAATTTCCTATATTTTATTTT